TGGTGGAGCGTGTAAACTTTGAGAGACGAGATGCATAACATACTATACAAACATTAATCGTAATATACATTTTATAATATTTAATTATAAACATATATCACTATTCATCGAGTTCTAGAAAAAAATTATTTTATTTTTCAAAATGTATTCGTTCGCAAATCTCTGATTAACCACAAACATTTTCCAACACCTCCAACAGTAGTTATAATAACTATTAAGTAATAACCAATGGTTGATCGCCTTACACCATCCTACTTAACACCACCACTGGTAGCATAAGTACCAACCTATAATGTATGTAGCAGGTCTCGTAAATTAATTTTTATAATTATATAAAAAATTACTAATTGTAGTTAATATTTCAGATATTGAACGGTTTTAATTATATTTCAAGACTACAAAAATTCAACTTTAGTAAGTCTAAAAGTAAGTGGAACTGTATAATATTAATAATATTTTATAATATTATAGTATGACTACGCGGCTGTACGGTGAGCGGTAAAGGTGAACGTGAAGTCAGCGTGTGGCAGCGGTACCGTAGCGGCATTTATACCGATAAGGTTTTAGACGTGTTTAAGAGGCTGATAAGACCTCGTAATCTAATCTTTTTTAACGCTGTACATAAAAAAGTAAACAAAAACATGTCTGATTTCTTAGAAACTATTAAATTCTAAAAAACGGCCATGTGTGGTAAAAAGATTAGGCAATAAAATATTGTCGATGTAGATATACCTAGTGTACAACAAGACACGACTGGCACAGATTACATTTTGGGTTATTTGGTCGTGTATTATAAAGATATAATGACATTTTGTCAGTGCAATATGTTTAATTTTGTCCACGAAAATATTGTACGTAAATAACACAAAACAATTTATTTATTACCAATATAATGTGAGTATCATATTATATTATTATTTCATATTAGGATATAAACTACCTTTACCTACCTATATAATAGTTATATTAGTTTCTAAAATAAACTACTTAACGGTACAATGGTAATGCACTTCAAGTTTCAATTGGCAATGTACTGCGACTTACTAGAAATAAGTAGTGGAAATTTTTTTTTAATTATAAGAACGTATATCATTGCTATAGGTTATCCACAATAAGTCATAGAAGCAATTTGAATAGCATTATAAATACCAGAATTGTATAGTGCGTAAGCATTAGGCAATTAAAATCAATATGACTATCGTACAAGATAATACAATAACTATGTTAGATCGGTGTTTGATATCTATATAATTTAAACCCATCATTCGAGTTTTTCGTTTATTTATAATCATAATATTCATAATATATATGACATATTGTCGATGAAAATTAAGAAAAAAATATGGAAAGAAGTACAGGACAATAGTCACTCAATAGACATATACTCTGATAACAATTTTGAATATGAATGAATCGCGTGGCATTCAAAACACAATATTTTGAACTCATTTAACACCTTTACTATAATGTTTTAAATACCTAGTCGTGTTTTTAAACCTTCATGAAGTATATTCACAAAATTATTTCGTGTAATAATATTCAATATTTATTCGATCTAATAAACTAATTTTATGAGAGTAACTTTACAAGAACATTTCTGAATACCAAAACTCCAAAGTGCAATTCTACATAACGTGACTACTAACTATATGTATAGCAATCGCCAAAGTTTAAGTTGGATTTTATACGTTTAGCTATGGGTAAATATAAAATAAATACCTAATAATGTAATAAAATAATATATTTGTAAATATAAGTTATGTTTAGGGTTATTTCTAAAATAACGTCAATAACGATCGTCGGAGAGTATGAATGTCAATCCCTACGAGGAACATGACTTGAATAATATTGCTGGCTACATGGTTTTGTCTTACTTTGATGTGCCCGCCCCTGGGAAATAATGTACACGACTCGTTTCGCTGGAATTTTGTAGCATGGCAACTGCACAGTGCACAACGTTTAATAGTGGACAACCGTTTGATCAAGAATCGAACGGCTCGACCTCGAGAAAAAGGCGGACGAAGATAGCGTTTTCTTCAGATCGACCGCGAGCGACGACGGAAAATTGTAAATACCGTGGTTACCGGCTCAATGAATTTTATACCGCAGTCGAGGAGACAGACTTTGTACCGCGGTCGCCTCCGCGTGGTTTATGTTTCTCAGAACAGGTAACCATCACGAGTGTTGAGCATTTCGATGATATTCCGACGTATAACGATAAGTCAATTTGGACAAACGTACAACTACAACAACTTCCTGCATAATAGTATTGGTTATAGATATTATGTACCTATGTAATTAATGGTAATAAGCATACTAGTAAGTATTCTTTCTAGCCTCATCACTTCCGGTCCACCTAAAATTGGACCTTTCCTATCTTTCCAAGAATCACGGTAAAAAGCCCAATAATCTTCAATGCCGTGTATACATTCTATTTTACTTTTCCACCAAAATAAATATATATATTATTTTAGTTAATTAAATTTTAGATTTTTATTTAGTGTAACTCAGAAACGAATAATTGTAGATACTTGAAATTTTCACCGAATGTTCCCTTAAGCATTTTCTATACTTTATACAATTTTTAAAATATTTTAAAACTGCACAACAAAATTTTTTACTAGTTTTTTTTAAATTATTGACTATACAATTTAGTCATTCAATTTTCTCGGTATAAAAACTTGAAAATCTAATACTAGCTTTCTCATAAGTTTTTAAGGTGGAAATTAAAAAAAAAGTTGATCATAAATCCACAATAATTTTTTATTTGTGTTTGAAGTTAGAATTTTTATTTCTGCATACGCTCCAATTTTAATATATATACTGCCGAAGAAGGTACAAATGTATTACTATACTTACCTATTAGTTTATGTAATCTTAAATATTTTAATATATTATTGTGTAAAAAATAGGTATTACTCATCGACGTACGTACAAGGGTTCCGGGGATGCCCGAGAACTCCAAGACCTTTCACTCAAGGCCCTATTCCAAGGATTAGTTTATAATATTTTTTGGTTTGATTACCTAACGTACTAAGTTAAAAAAAAAGCTTTACTTAAAACGAGTTATACAATTATAAAAATCTAATAACAAAAGAGCAAAGCTAATAATAAATTAGTGTCGGTGAAAATTGTCAATGATCCGAAACAACAAAAATGTTGTTCTTCTATCAAAAAAAGATCGGCTGTGGTTGAGTAGTTTGAAAATTTGAATAATTCCTCATAAATTATATTATTTTACCAATTATTTGTATAGGTAGATTATTTTTTTTTCTGCAGTTATTTAGCTTATCTATACATACACTTACTTTTATTTGGATTTTGGATATTGTTTTTGAAAAATTGTTCATTGTAAGAATTGTTAATATTGAAATCCCACCTATCAGACCACCGGGCTAAAAATTGAGAGTCAATGGACAGCATTCGTAGTTTTCGACCTACTGTCCAGTCGCCTGGTGTAAAGTCCAGCACCTTGTCACTTCGCACTATACCGCTGCCACAGGCCACTGAAGGTGCTGGCACAATCACGTCGTCTTAAATCTCCACAGCCGATTTAGTTTTGGAATCATCGACTACCTAGTTGAGGGATTGTGGAAGCTTCACCAAACGTGAACTGAGAAGCATAAAACAAAAGCTCTGCCAAATCGTCGATCGTAACTTCCTCGTCGAAGTTTTCTATGTTGTGTAAGGAGTAAGCTAGTTTCCAGCTTTTCATATGCCATCTTGTTGATGATTATATCTATAATATGATGTCTATGACGGTAACTTCAGCCGTCTCCATCAAAATCGTTTTTCTTGTGCCAATTATATTCCTATCGTTGAATTCAAATGTAACATGTCCATTACAGTGACCCAGTCGACGCCTGCTGTGCCCACTTTTGTATTGAGTTCGAAAAATGTTATGATTGTCAAGAACAATATTGAATATAGTATATATAATATGTTCTTAACTTATATATTTTATTAAAACTTTGATATCTTATAATTTTTTAGAAAGTCAATGATAAAATTAACTGTCCTTGCCCTTACCAAAATAAATAGCGCCCTATATGTATAATAGCTGGAAGTTATTATACGAGGAACTTTCATACATCTTTTTATATTTTTGACATTTAGCATAGACTAAGGAACTACTATAGAATATAGTATGTTATGCTCGTTGTTTATCCTGTTTTTTAAAGTTAGAAATCTGTCAACCCTAAAAAACTTGTACCATATTGTAAATAATTTAATTATCCATAATTTGCATGTATTTTTAGCCTGCATGACATTAATTGTAATCAATCTATAGTAATTATTCACCAATTAGCCAGACTCCTGCCAACTTCTTAAAAATTATTAAAATAATTGTATAAGTATAATGTATTAAGTATATTGGAATATTATAATAGTTGTGTTATAAATTATAATACTGTTTTTCATTTTTATGTTCGGATCTTAATACTAAAATGTTATCTATTAGTATTTAATTTTTCTATAATCTTACACCTCGATAATGTTATAAATTATATTATGAGTTATGACATTATGTAGGTACTATAGTTGTTTAAAATACACTAAATGATTTATAAGAATCAGAGGGATTAAACAGACTTAACATCTTTTTTTTTATTAAATCAAATGTAAAGTAATGAATTACACAAGTTCATAGACTAATATAATACAGCGCTTACTTTAATTTATTGAAATTAATTCATTTTAAAGCTCAGTAAACACTCAAACCGGGAGAATAATCCCGAGACCGTATAATATGTTCAAAACCGGCAGTATCCGTATTTTAAATCGAGATTAATGGTAATAACTTAGCATACGTACTTGATTCTTATAGACCTACCTATAATATTGAAAATTGGCATTGGTAATTATTAGGTTTTTTATGGAAACTGCGGTTACTGGAGATGTTTTCTAACGTTCCTAATCTATCAATTATCAAGGTTACAATAATAATAATTCTTTTTTTCCATAAATACAAAGTAATTTTTGAAGAACAAAATATAATTATTTATGCTTAAATTATACTTATTAATTTTAATCGAATTATGTTATATATGCCCACTCAAAATCGTCAGAAGGTGCATTGCGATTATTCCACCAAGGTTATAACTTATAACGAATTATACAATAAGCCTATAAATAATATTTAATAATACACGTAAATACATGAAATACAATAAATGAAGCGACGGTGATCCATTACCTAATAACACTTCAAATTCGGAAGTCAGAACCATTTATTCGGGTTTTGACTGCTGCTGCATGATGCATTCGAGTGTTTGAACCGGGATAAAAAGAATTTTCACAAACGTTGGAAGCTAATAACAGTTAGTATTCGAGTTAATTTTGTTATTACGGGTGTTTAGTAGTTAGGTAAATATTTAAAAAAAATTTTAAAAAGTGATCAGATATTCAGATATACAATACGTAAATATATATGTATCACAAGAAAAACATTTCTCGGTCATAATTGTTCAAACCGAAACGATAGTAAAATTAATTAAGGTTAATCCAGACGAAGTCTGGAGATATAGAGGTCCATGAAGTTAGCCGCTTAAAGTGAATATTTTTGTACCAAATGTTGTCAACAATTTGTAAGTTAAGCAAAAATTGTAAATTTGTAAGTAAAAATATTAAAGATAAGCGGCCAACTTTACGGACCTGTAATATAGATAATATATTATTATAAATTATAATTATTTTTATATGAGGATCGGTGAAACGTATTTTGATTGGCGGGGAGGGGGGCTGTGCTAAAGGTGATGGTTGTCGGGAAAATTACTCAGGAAAAAAGATCAGGGAAAAAATTTCAACACTGAAAAGTAATAAGTACTATGTCTGTGATTTTTATAATAATATAATACAATATTATTTTCCTTGGATAACAAAATTGTATTAATTTTCTCAGTTGATTTTGTTTTCTTATTAATATTTAAGGCCGAAGTCACATTTGTGGAATACCCGCAGCGGAAAATCAACCAACGGATTCCGCAGATCTCAAAACAAGTTGTATATTATTATTATGCTTGCACATAATGTGCATTATTGTGCATATATTATATAGATTGGAAATGTATGCACGTCCGCCGCGAATATCCGCAAGCGTGACACGACCGGCCTTATTGACATACCTAATTTAGTATAAAATTATTTTTTATAGTCAAGAGTCGACATTAAAATAATGGTCCAGGAGCGGTGCCGACAAAATTAGTGCCATAGTGCGAAAATTCTGAGTACATATTTTCTGCTCGTGACGTACAGTCGGCGCTCGACACAATAACAACATTATCGGCACTCCCCCGCCGACCGAGGTAAACATTATTCGAATGAGCGAGTCGTCTGTGTTATTGTACAGTGTGACATGAATACACACGATTACAATATCATTGCACTTTTTACAGTGGTATTGGGCCGACGAGGTTTTCGCAAGCGTTGACGAAAAAAACCCGAATGAAAAAGAACGGGAAAAAAACCGACGGACGATGTGCGTGCGTAGTGCGTACGACCGCGGTTAAACGGAAACCGCCGATGAGTCAGATGGGTTTTTTTTCGGGCGGGCTCCACCGTTGTCGTACCAATAGTTTCACTTTCACCCGAACGCAGATCCGTCTCGAAACCGGTCCATCACGGCCGTGTGCGTACGCATGCATAATATTAATATGATGTTATTACTATTATAGATAATGATGTTCGATCGCGCATTTATTTTGTCAACTACATATTTGTTTTTCGCTTACATAATAAATGGGTACCTGCAGCAGTCGGCCTATATACATAAATATATCGACGACGCGGGGCCGAGTCAGACCGTTTTTCAGGGGGCAGGGAGGAGAGGCGCCCGCTGATATTTTCATGACATTTTTTTTGTTTGTGTTCATTGAAAATAGGTACTGTAATATTTGATAAATATAATTTGATGACTACACACATATTCGACTTGAATACAATATTTAAAATAACTTGAAAACTTAAAAAAATTGTAACACTTTTATAATATACCATTGCCCATATTATACTTTATACTATAATATTATGGCATTTTGTAAGCGCTGTTTCCAAATTATAATTAATAAATATATATGAATATGATAAGTCACTGTTAATAAGCAAATAGTAATTAATATTAAATAATAATATTTTGTCGTGTTCAGAGGGTAAAACAGCAGACCCTGAAGCCTCCCTGTCAACACCCATGTCCGTACGATATTGACATTGTTGTACAATTACCTATACTTAACGACAAAGACGTTTGAATAACATAAAGAGTAGACGATGCTCCACGGGGACAATACAAATGCCACGGGGATGGGGGAAGGGGGGTAGTGTAGTCTTCAAATTTTCGGACTAGATTTTGAATTGTCAAATTTTGAATTGTTGAACAAATTTACCAACTACTTATTGAAAGTCAATATTGCTGCCAAAGGTACTACCTTGTGGTAGGGGGTGTCACTCCCTACCACAAAGCACCTTCAGCTCGTCTCTAGAACTAAGGTAGACGAGTTATTTGCAGTGGCCGAGTCAATATTATGGGACGAGAGTACGAGACCGAGTGATATCCGCTCTCCAAGATTTATGTTTCTTTACACGTGTTAAAAATTCAAACTCGTGTTTGTTTTTATAATTAAATTACGATTTTTTTCAACTTAAAATACATCACGACTAATGGAGGGAATACCCATTATTATAATTGCGACCTGTTAAATGTTTATTGGAATTAATTACTATTATATACCTAATGTGTTTTTCTAACTTGATTTTCAACAATAGTCGTATTATAAACCCATCGTTATTATAGTGCTTAGCGCGAGTTTGTACCTATTTTCGGACGGTATAAATAAACGATTACTGAAAGTGAAAACACCCGCGGATTATTAGTTGTCGGTAAAAACTGAGGTTCTTTTGATTGTGCTCGAGTCGGGCGGCGTCTGTAAACGAAATTTGCCCAGTACAGACACGGATATTTACAAACATTTAGCACAAATGGTTTAAACACACGTAATGCATCGGCACTTCTTCGTATTGTCGTTATCACGCCGAACGCGTGCAAGTATTTATCAGTCGACTGACTTTGAAACATTTTGAAAGTCGTCCGAGGAGAAAAACAAAACAAAACCCGATTTGTATAATATAGTCCTGCGTTGTACATAACTTGGTCCGGCCGAAGAGAGCACTCGCGTTCGATAGGGACTATATATATTATTATGTTCTCGGAAATCACAACACGATATCGACTTGTTTTTTTTCATTTAATGTCGCGCACGTCCTTCAGACATCAAAAGTTGTTGGGTTATATTATTATACTTATATCGGCACAACAACACGCGGACGGCCGCCATAGAAGTAAACGATATATAATACCTCTAAATATAATAATAACATGTAATACAACGTTTCTATAATGTATGCGAGTACCGGAGTACCGTTTAAATATTAATATATATATATATATATATAGTTGACATAAAAAAACGCACGTGAGCGATTATTAATTTAAACGAAAAAATATTATAATACCTGACCCTAATCCTTGTGCCATTATTGCGGTGCACCTATTCCGCGAAAAAAGTCTCTTTTGATTACTCACGATGTGTTTCGTAATATTGTATTGATAATTTAATTTATGCATGATTATTATTTAAATAAAACACTTCGAGTTGCTGTGTTTGAAAAAATGAACAGACTTGTCGACATTTCTTACGGACTCGATAATTCTGATCTGTACGAAAACTTTAAAGGTGAGTATTGAGCAAAAATTCTAAGCACTCCGCTGTATTATGCTCGAAAATGTGTTGTGTTATTCAGTTTGATGAAGGAAATTGTGATAAATGCTTGATACGAAAAAATTATTCCGTCTTGTGCAGAGTCAATCCAAAAATGGCTATTCTTCGTGACTTTAGGACTCTTCTTTGCTCTACTACAACGTAATGGAGCTGCTGCAGTGTCTAAAATAATTTACCAATAGTCATATATAAGGCATATCATATATTATATATAGACCATCGATTCGTTCATCGAAGTACATTATGGAACTAATAAAACTAATTATAATTGGAATACCGCATTAGATCGTCGGCGTCGTGGGATGTGCGACGAAGTAAATAAATCTATTCGGATACCGCTGCGAGAAACCATGCGAAATAACACATGCGAAATTTGACAGCATATTGCGTCGACGTCCACACAGCACACCCGTCGTTCTTCCTGTTTTTGCCATGGTTTTTTACCATGGCAATCGTACGTATATAATATTATATATATATATATTATGTATACACTATGTACAATTTAAAGATTTATTGACACACTATAGCTATATTACCCGACTTCGACGCAGTTTAAATTAATCTATCTTTCTACATCGTTTTTCGTTTTTTTTTTCAGTTGAAATATTTATCACAAACACAATAACAATGATTAACTTTCTACTTCTTAATTCTAGACAAAATTGTTTTATAAACAAAAAAAATGAAGACAGACCAATGAATACTTTCAGAAGCTGACGTAAATCGAATATCGTTAATATTCAACGAATACCAATTCTCTATTTACTTACATAAAAAATATGTCCAGATTTGTTAAGGATGCAAATCATAATTGTAATCATTGTAATTGTGTTGGCAAATATTTTATTTAAAATTTTTTTTTTATAATTTCTTTACGCCTTCTACTAATTATTATGAACTTTAATAATATATAGCCTATAACTTATGGCAACCATTTAAATAAACAAATAATATTCGATTTTCGTAAGCCTAAACTAAATGTATGGGTGAGCCACCCAGTAGGGGTAAATAAGCTACCCCTCCGAATCTCAAGGAATCTACATTGATACAACTTTTATTGAAAACGGTCCAGTAAATTTAGAAAATAGAGGACAAGGAAACATTAATTGTTATATAATATATAGACACCGTAAACAACTTTTACAGGGTGTTTTTTTTTTTTTGTATTCAATTGTATTGTTATTATAATTTTTTCAAACTACACAGTTATATTATGTGTACAAATTATAAACCCTCAAAGTCCGACCGTTTCATAGTGCTTAGCTTTCATCGCGTTTCAAATATTTTAATCTCTTTATAAGCTGAGAAATTTAACGGTGTGAACACTTGAATACATCATAATATTGTCTGGTCTATGGTAAAAATAAATACCTAATGATCACCCTGTATAGATAGCGAGGTATAGTATAATATGTGAGGCCACGAAATCACACACACACACACACACACACACACACACACGCGTATACAATATTATGTAGGTATATATAAGATATACACCGACGTGGTTTGGCAAATGGCAACATTGAATTATTGCGCGCACGCGTCGCCGTTGGCTGTGTAGTGTATATATTATATTATTATATAGTGTTTTATTATTTATATATATATAGCATTACCGGAAACCGGAGACATTCTTCTCTTCTTCCTCTTCTTGCCACGCTCAGTTTTTCGTAAATTATGATGTTCCTGTCGAGGCCCCGAGCACGGTATTCGCGGGCGCGTCGCACAATTATTATTGGTTACAGCCTATAATGTAAGTATATATTCTAGGGCCATAATATTATAATAATATTATACAGTACAATATTGATACACTGTTCGGTCCAATATATGTGACTGTCGAATAATATATATTTATACATTGGGTGCATTACACGACCGTTGGAATATATAATATTATAATATTATGTTGAATATTATTAGTATCATATATGTACATTATTATAAGACGTAGGTAGGTACGCACCACGTATTGAATATTAATGTTAGATATTATTGTAATTTTCTACAATATTATATATTATGTCAATCAACGATCTGTCAGTATTTATGAATCTATTATGGGATTATAACGTATCGGTACTCGTCTCACTACAGTGCGTGTACTTTATATTATATAACACCTGTTTTACTCTTTTGAAACTGTTAAAAATAAAAATTCATTATTCATAGCGGATAATATTATTATTACATAAAACATACAAATGTGCAATTTGTATTTGTTTATAATATACTTATATACCTATAGGTATAGCGATGAACGATAAGCTCCATCTATAAAACCACATATTATATCTTAAAAAATATGTTATCCCATTCTTTTTTATGACTTTTTTAAATATGGATAGTAAGTACAAAATAAAATGTACGCCAGAACAATTATCGTGTGCCCCGCGGTGTCCCAGTGTGTATAAACGGTCAAGAAAGTTTAAGTTATTTTTCAATTACATAATATATCAAATAAATAATTAGCATATTTTGTTGTAAACATATTATTATTATTATTTAACTTGTAACAATAATACGGTTCAGGATGTGTATAAATTATCAGCAGTAAGTTTTAATTTTTAACTTATGTTTTATAATTTTGTGAATGCAAATTGTGATTATGAAGTGTTCAAAAATAATATTTATACCGATAAGACTTATTAGCTATTATATATTAGTTATACCGTCAT